TCTCCCACTGACTCTGGCTAACCTGCAGTAAGCAGGGAGTTCACCTAGGTGACATTTGAGCACATTTCCAACTCCTTATCATTCTGTGCGAATGGGATTTGTTGCCAGTTGGGTACTTGCTATGCAAAATAATTCCTTCAGCTGTATAGACTCTGTATGCGTATTCCAGTGAACAAGCAAAACTAAGATAGCTCAGTTGGCAGCGCATAAGACTCTTAATCTCAGAGCATGGGCATAGCTGCCCCCCCTCACAGATCAAGTAAAACAAAGTTGTCGTTTAGTCGTGTCCGACTCTTCGTGACCCCATGGACCAGAGCACACCAGGCACTCCTGTCTTCCACTGCCTCCCGCAGTTTGGTCAAACTCATGTTAGTAGCTTCAAGAACACTGTCCAGCCATCTCGTCCTCTGTCGTCCCCTTCTCCTTGTGCCCTCCATCTTTCCCAACACCAGGGTCTTTTCCAGGGAGTCTTCTCTTCTCAAGTAAAACAATAGAAATAACTAACTGACTAATCACATCATCCCTGCCCCCCCTAACAAAAGTCCTGGCTACACCCATGTCTCAGGATCACAGGTTTGAATCCCACATTTTGCAAAAGATTCCTGCATTGTTGGGGGTTAGGGTAGATCAGGGGTCCCCAACCTGCGGCTGAAATAACCACAGGAGTCCAAATCAATATTGTCAACCTGTCTGTTCAGGGTCATGGCCCTGAACAGCACCAATTTCCCTGAAATGGAAAGTTTTTTTGTAATTGAGTTTCTAAGATAGTTGATGGGTCCTTAAACATTTGCTGCTACCTCTTAAGTCACAAGTATTTCTGCGTTTTTATTAGTTTTGAGAAACCCTGTCTGCTGGCTTTTGCTTAAAATGCACTGTTAACATTTTTTTACTACAATTGCCATAATAAAGTTTTCATGTTAAGGACAACAGCAATAAAAGCAGTTCCTAAATATACATTACAAAAAGAACCAGCTGTACAGAAATGAAAGCCAACCAATATTCCGGATCCTACTAGCAGTTTTATCAAATGTCTGCAAACTTCAAGCCGCATGATGAACAATGTTTTCCCTGGAGAAATCCTCAACTTAATCTACAGCATTTGGCTGATACAGGAGGGGACAGGGACGAGACCTTTTATAATACACAGTTGAATTTAGCATTTAAGAAGATTATTGCATTTATAAATAGCCTGAAAATCCAAAGTCATTGAATGTAGTGCACAGAAGAGATCAATCAAGTAGTTATCATACCATCTGGCCCCCTTTTTTTTTTTGCAGTAGGAAAATTGTCCTATAACACTGCATTGGCTAGAATGCCTGGGTTTGGGTGTATTTAACACTCCACCCGAAAATGCTTGCTGCTACTGCTGCTGTGATTGCTTTTTTCTTTGCATAGCTGAACAATAATAGGGCCACGCAGTTAGGAATTTAGCAGCATAAAATCCTATTTTGTAAGGCAGTCAAAACTATAGACTGGAGAAAGAGTGAGGATTCTACCGCTTTCAACAGCAGCTGGGCTTGGAAAAGCTGGACAATACATTTCCACCAGTCCATGCAATAACAAGTTGTTCATTATTTCTTACTATGGCTGCTACGCTGAAAGGCTCAGCAGAAACAATGTGTAACTCTGTAAACCATCTAAAATTTGTCAGGAAAGGGTCATTATTAGTTGAAGCATCCGTCATTAATAACACCGCCTGCTGTTTTTAAATCAAGAGTGGGAACTGGCTTTTGTGGCTGGATTGTGTGTTTGACATGCCTAGTCAATGATTTTTTATTTATTTATTTAATCCTGTTTATAAACCATCTGTTTGCCTATTCTTCCCTGTAATACCCATTGCAGATGTAAGAACATGAATTATATTTTAAAACAGTAGGGAAATTTTAGTCAGACATTTTATTCTTTCACTTCTTTTATCATTTATGTTGGAATATGTGTGCTTTGAAAACCATAAGCCACATATTACAAGCTCCATGCACTTGTGGGTAAAAACTTTTCTTATTGTATCGCCAGATTGGGGAAAGTGCTCTTTTAAGAGTTCCCATTATATTTAAAACTAGACAACACTTTTTAAAAAAAATATATCCAAAGCTAAAGACAGGTTACATAATTATCTAGTTCACAGTAGCCTAAGGGAGTGTTGAATTTTTCAGCTTTCAAATTCCAAGAATGAGGGGTGCTAAAAAGTTGTAACATAACTTGGGAATTCAAAATATATTTTGGTTAAATTAATATAATATAATTTAGTTTTGCTTCGTAAGTAAAATGTGTAAAAATTCACTGGAAATAATTAAAAATGATTGTCAAGTACTTGCAGTTTATTTATTATTAATTATTATTATTATTATTATTTAGCATTACATGACATTTTCAAGAGGCAAAATTAAAATTCTTTGGTAAATAGCAGATCTGAATTCCTCACACCCCCAAAAATATTTTTAAGACCCTCTCACTGATGAAAGCTGCAAAAATTAAGTTCCACCCTATTTTGCTGCTACAGGTGCATCATGGCGTTTCTGCTCTCTGCACTCCTCCTACCACTGCTGTGGATGCACCTCACTTGTCTGTCCCCAGGCACTACAATCGTCTGCAAGGGATTCCCACACAGTAGGGTTAATGTTGCCAACCTTCATATCATGTTTGATAACAGTTGGTCTGTCGACAGGCCTAGTGCCTGAAGCCAGCTTCCCATACAGAACATCCTTGGAGGTTCTGCCATCTTCATTCTGTGTACATGAGCAAGCCAACATAGATGTTGCTGAGAGAGGAGTGTGAACATGCTAGGAATATGGGCTTGAGAGAGCATATATTTGTATGAGACTCTGTCCTGCCATGTGACACCCAAAAACTTTCTGCCCACGACTCACTTCCATAAAACAATGCGCTCAACATGCAAGCCTGCTAGACCTTCATCTTGACATTGGTCATTAGCATCACATTCTCCCACACCCTTTTGGAGAGGCGAGCCATTGCCATATCTGCCTTGCCAATACGCTTGTCCAGCTCAGCATCAGTTGAAAAGTGGATGGTTATGGTGGTGCCCAGGTAGACAAAAAAGTGCAGTTGGAAAAATCGGGGCAGGGACACTAGGTGTATGTGTTTACTGAGCACTTTTAAGCAGAGATATCGCCTTGTCTGCATATGCAATATTTTAAAGATGTTTTATTGCTTTATCACTTGTTTACCACCCTGGACTCCTCTGGGAGAAAGGGCAGGGTACTGTCCTAAACAAGTTTGAGGCCAGGGCTAATGCTTAATTAGGGATTTTGAACCCTTAAGTCAAGAAGAGGGGAAGGGAAAGAGACATTGCGTCTTCTTTCCCCGCCTCACCCCCCCCCCCAAATCAAGACCTGAGGTGTTTCCCTTCCCTCAGGATCATTTCAGCTCCACAGCTGTTGAGCACAGTGATTCATTGGGTGGAGTGCGTACGCTGGCGAGGATCATAGCAGTGCACTTGTAATTTGGCAGCCCTGCAAAAAAATTGATCTTTTCTCTCAAAGCCATGAAAGACACACTCTCAACACAACGCCAAATATTTCATCAATGAGCATTGTTTGGTTTGTTGGCTGTTTTGTTTTCTTGAATGAAAGCTCCACTCGTCAATTTCCTTCTCTCCTTCCCCCACCTCACACAAACATGAGAAACAGGGAGTGTCCTGACCTACCTGGCAAGCAAGTCACGTTCAAAGTCCAGGGATCAAACCACACCAAGTCCAAAGGTTAGGAAACACAGTCCAAGTAAAAATGTCTGATATCAGGATACAGTCCAGAGCTGAAGCAAAGTACAGGAACATTCAAGCCAAGGTCCACCAACATGGGCAGTTGAGCAGACACAGCACTTCCTCTCTGCTTCCCTTTGGTACTTTGCCTGCTGATTGCAGCATCTGGGCTTGATGAGGCAGATGACCCTCACCTGTGCCAAGCCCACTCCAGCTGAGGAATCACACACATTCCCAGAGCTAGTGAGTCCCACCTGGCCAGCTAGGGAGCTGGGCTGTAAGCCCTTGCTTGCCTCGGCCTCCTACAACGCCTCTCCCACTGCTCTCTACGCTTCAGGGCCTGCCATGTTTGTGGGGACAAGGCCCCCTCTGGCTCTGGCTCTGGGTCCTGCTGCTCTGGTTCCTGTGCACTGGCCCCCATCCCCTCGCCATCGCGTGAGTACTTCCTTCCCTATCCTCTGCTTGCCCCAGTGTGTCCCAGTCCCAGCCCTTGCCAGGATCCTCTTCCTCCTCCCCCTCGTGTTTGAGAGATACCAGCTTTGGTAGCACATGTTTGATGGGGCAAAAAGAATAGATACAGGTAACTTTCAGGAAGATACAATGGCTCTTGCACCAATGTAAGTGATATTGAGTTGGGCTTTATATTAGTGCATGGGCCATTGGATTGTCCTGTGTTAGAGACTGCATACTAGATAAGAACTGCTGACTCCTATGGAGAAACAGTCATTGCTACAGTGTGTAGAGTCATAGAATTATAAAATTGGAAGGAACCATAAGGGTCATCTAGTCCAACCCCTGCAATGCAGGAATTTATTTTGCACAATGTGTAGGCATGGAGTTGCAAACCATGCAAGTCCTTGTAAACAAGCAGAAAAGCATGCTTTGAACTCATTTATGTTTGTTTGCTTTTAAGAAACCCCGAATAATAATATTTTCCAAGTGGAAACCTTACACACTGATTTGGTTTCTTCATGAATGCTAATTAATATCCATGCCTATAAAGGCATGTATGAGTACAGACATTTTCTAAGGAGAGGGGCATTCATAATTAATTTTGTATGTATCTGTAGTCTTTCTCCTTGCAGTATAGCTTATAGCACTGCAAAGACTTCTATATTTATTCAGTGCCTATAGCACAACTAACCATTTAAAAGCAAATTTAAAAAACAGAAGAATTCAACGTTTGTTTGTTTGTTTGTTTTAAATGCCCTGTTATGTGCTATTTGAGATGTAATTGAAGGGTTAAGAGCTTCCAGGTGGTGTGGCTGCATAAATGGCACTTGCAGGATTTGCTCAGTCAGTAGAGCTTGAGACTCTTAATCTCAGGGTCGTGGGTTCGAGTCCCACATTGAGCAAAGGATTCCTGCATTGCAGGGGGTTGGACTAGATGACCCTCGTGGTCCCTTCCAACTCTACAATTCTGTGATTCTACAATTCTGTCATAGGGAGTTCAGGAGTACCACATAGCTGCTTGTGGTGGTGTTATTTGAATTGATATATACTGCCCTGTACTTGGAGGTCACAGAATAAAATCAAAATATAAAACCACAAAATGTATAATCAAAATAATAATAAAAAACAATAACACCCCCCCCCAAAAAAAGACCACATTTTAAAAGGGCATAGGATGTCAATCAAATCAACCAAAGGCCTGGTTTAAAAGGAACATTTTTGCCTTGTGCCTAAAGGTGTATAATGAAAGCGCCAGGCGAACTTCCCTGGGGAGAGCATTCCAGAGACGGGAGCCAATGCAGAGAAGGCCTGTTCTCGTGTTGCCACCCTCCAGACCTCTCGAGGAAGAGGCACACGAAGAAAGGCCTCAGAAGATGATCTCAGGGTCCGGGTAGGTTCATATGGAAAGAGGCGGTCCTTGAGGTATTGTGGTCCTGAGCTGTTCTTCACAGAGGAGAGGCAGGGGCAAATGGCTTACTGACCTGAGTAGCCACTGCCCATAGCATAGCAGCTGTCCCTGCCCATTTTAATTTTATTTACATTATATATGCTACATACCCTGCTTTGTCCAAGTCCCTTCTATTTGGTGGAGAGGACTGCTGGCTTGCATGAATGTTAGAATGATGTTGGATAGAAATTAAGTGGTTTCTAGCTGTAATGCTCTAAGGGAATATGAAAAGGGGGTTGCTAAGAGGTAAAAATCTAATGTTATTATATTAAGATCAAAGATTAGGATAAATAAAGAGGGTAAGGATTTGCTGAACCAACAAACTGAACTGGAATACAAAAAAGGGAGGTATGAGGAGGTCCGGGAAACAAGCTAAAGAAAAATAAGCAATGGAAAATTTGAGTGTTTTTAACCATTTTTATTTTGTATTTTGTATTTGTTTATTTTCTTTCTTTCTTTTTCATTTTTTATTGTAATGCTTTAAAAAAATCTTAATAAATATATTATTAAAAAAAAAGGACTGCTGGCTTGCTCAGCACCTGTGAAGAGTCAGGGGCTTGCTCCCTCCCCTCCCCCTCCCTTGAGTTTACCCACAGCCCAGTGGACAAAGTCTGAAGGAGAGCTGAAATGACTGGATGTAATGAGACAAAAGCAATTTTAAAAACAAAGATTGTGACAAGTAACACTACTTAGTGGGAAAATCAGGGTGGGAGATGACTATTGAAGAAATTAATTGAAGTGAAAATGTAATTTTGGGAGAGATCACTATGAGAAATTAAATATTTTAATTCATGTCATGGTTGTTGCATCAGAACATAACACCCCTGGTGGGAAGGCCATGTATTCAGACATTTTGCTTCCAAAAGCAGTCAGCCAAATGTCTCTGGGAGCTCAAAAACTGGGCATGAAGATGGTAGTGGCTTTCTCTTATTTTTTATCTCTAATATACCCATGTGTTTTGGAAGTATCTTGCATCTGAACATAGAGATTATGTTTAGCTATCACAAGTAAAAGCTGTCAATATGTCAATTCAGATATTTTTTTTAACCCATCGAAACTAATGGTGGTCAGCACACCTCACAGCTGTGAGTTCTGTATGTTCATTATGCGTTGTTTGAAGAAGAATGTTAGCAGCCTTTCTTTATAAAGCTGCCAGAATTTTATTTCCCTTGTTTCTGGGAAGTGTGGCTATCATGAGGGGAGAACAATTCAGACCATGGCACTCCAGCTAATGTTGAGTCAAATGAGAGAGGTCAGCTTTGGAAGCAGAAATGATTTTGGCAGTGTCAACATTTGTGGCCTTACAGAAGCAGGTCTTCTGTAAAAATGGGTGTGACAGCAGCTGTGGGAGCAGCTTGCCTTAAACTGCATTTGTGGCTCCATCTTGGTAAAAGTCAATTGTCTCCATCTAATCCAGCATTCTTCTTTCCCACAGAAGCTAGCCAGCTTATAGTTAGGACACGAGTGTGGTGCTCCTCCCGTGTTGTTGTTTTTTAATTCCTAGCATCTGATATAGTAGTTGTTATGTATTGAAGTGCTCACCCTGGCCACCAGGAGTATTGTGTATATAGTTTTCACTCAGGTCCATGTCAGTTAATTTAGGCGGGAAACCCTGGGTTGTTGTTGTTACAATGTGACAGCTGGCTGGCTATAAAAGCAGGCCGGCTGAGCTGTGTTCGGTTCAGTTCCGTTCCAGCTTACTTATAAAGAACTACTTTGGAGGAATCTCTTGTGTCATTGCTTTGGTCCAACCACATTAATAGTAGTAATTCCATGTAGCTATCATGGCTGTTAAGAGGAGCTTCCATTGCTGTCCCCTGAAGATAATGGAATGGGATGGTGGCAGTTGTTAGGCCTTCTCTCTCTCACAGTTACTTGCAAGAACTTCACAGGCAGGGTCGTGATACAGAGTGCGTCAGAGTTTGCAATGGTAGAGCAAACGATGCTCTTCCCACAGTTCTTAGCAGAGGCGACTGGTCTAGCAGAAGATAAGCTGAAAAGTGTCTTCGTTTCAAACATGGAATAATATATTTGTGAAGTGTTATGTTTATAAAAAACCATGGCAGAAAACAGGGAGACAAACGCCCATCCCTAATATCTGGATTCTATAGGGATTATTATCTGCCTTTAGTCTTGTTAAATAGGTTCCCAATCAGGTGCAACGAGATCAATACAAGGAGAAACCGCGATCCCTATGTTTTTCTGATGCCTTTAACAGTGCTAGAACACCATTCACCCTTTTTCTGTTCCATGACTAATAGCATCCTATATGTAAGAACCACCAGAATGTCTTGCCAAATCCCTTAGTAAAGCTGCAAGTCTATTATCTATTTTTTTCAGTACATATCACCATACATCTTGTTTTCTGTCTTCCTTATTAAGCTATGTCTGATTATAAAATATGAACAGCAATCATGTTCCTGCCAACCTTCTTTCAATTCAGCGTGAATTTGGATTAATTTTACTGCAGCTTAACTTTAGAGTCACTCTTATGGGAGACTAATGACAGGAATCACACTCACTCAGTGTGACAGATTATAAAATTATAAAGCGCTTTATAAATGAGTTCTGCCTCTGTGAACCTAAACCTATTTTGAAAGATGGGTCCAAAGTAGATCACTAGGTCTAAATATGCACTAAACCACAGAGACCTTTTGTACCTGATCTATGTCTGAAGGTGGTACTTAACATTCTGTCCTGTACAAAACACTATACAGAGGGTATAGAACTTCTAGTAGTTCTAAACAATATCCAAAGATTTAGATAACATACGAATCTGATATTGCATTCCCCTAGTCCTAAAGATGCCTCATTAGTCAATCCATCTAACAAGGTTGTGTTGACAAAAGCTTCTGTGGTGTTTCCTACTTCTTCCGAAAGGCCCTTCTGGAGCAGGAATTTAGAGATAAGGCTGTTGAACTTGTTCTCTGTGGTAGATTGTGGTTCTGCGGTTGCGAAAGGATTGTAAGTTGTGGCATTTAGCTCCTCTGGGTCAAGACAAAAACCTTCAGGCGTTCTCTCGAAAGAAACATCAGTTAAGTCAAGACCGGCCACAGAGGATGGGGAGGCACAAGGAATATCCCTAACAAGTCTGTAGTTCTCCATCCATTCCTTCAGCCACTCAATCCTGCAGTCGCATTCCCAGGGGTTCCGGAAAAGATAGAGTCTTCCTAGGAAGTAGACAGGTTGGAAGACTGAGAAAGGCAAGGTGGTTAGGTTGTTACTGTTCAAGTGCAAAGACACCAAGCTTATGAGGTTTTCAAAAGCCCCTTCCTCAATGTGGCTAATCCTGTTCCTGTCCAAATACAAAACTTCCAGCTCTAACTGGTCCTGGAACCATGTATTAGAGACATTTCGAAGTAAATTGCCGCCAAGATTAAGCATGTTGAGACGTCTTAGGCCGTCAAAACAATTATCAGGGAGGTCACTGAGGACATTGTCATTTAAATAAAGATACTCCAATTTCTGACAGTACTGAAAAGCTCTGTCATGAATCACATTTATTCTGTTATCTTGCAGATTGAGATATTTCAGCTGGGTCAGACCCAAGAGAGAATTATAAGCCACAGCTTCGATCTTGTTTTTCTCCAGATAAACATGGGTCAAATTCTCCATCCCTCGTATCGCTCCTGGAATCCTTTTGAAGTTGTTCTGAAAGCAAAAGAGTTCCTGAAGGGCTGGAAGCTCTATAAAAATCCTGTCTGGGATGTTGAAAAGGTTGCAGTCCGCTAAGTCCAGTCTGACGAGCCTCTTGAGTGAAATGAAAGTCCTTGTGTGCAAATACTGAATGTATTCATTGTGGGCCATTTTTAGTTCCGTCAAGCTGGCTAGCCCTTTGAAAGCACCAGGAGTGATGAAGGATATGTTGTTGTGGCTTAATGAGAGAGATCTGAGGGATGGGAGGGTACCAAATGCCCTCTCAGCGAGGAATTTGATGCTATTTTTATCCAGGTTAATAGAGTAGGCCTCACAGGGAAACTCTTTAGGGATCTGTGTGAAACCAGCACGGTCACAAAGAATGGCACAACTCCTCTCTTGAGTGCACACACAGCTGGTGGGGCAGGAGCGGACACAGGCCCACACACAGTGAACAGGGGGGATGCAGAGAAGGACTGGCAAGGAAGTGTACCAGCAAGGGAAGAGAAAGAGAGAAATCAGATATTAGTGAACACTCACAGTATCAAAACACAATATTTATATAATGAATGGATCTTGCTTACTAGTAGTAGTAGTAATAATAATAATAATAATAATAATAATAATAATAATAATACATTCTTTATACCCCACCCATCCAGCTGGGTTTCCCCAGCCACTCTGGGCAGCTTCCAACAAAAGATTAAAAATACAGTCATTAAAAACTTCCCTAAACAGGGCTGCCTTCAGATGTCTTCTAAATGTCAGGTAGCTGTTTATTTCCTTGACATATGCAGGGAGGACGTTCCACAGGGCAGGCGCCACTACTGAAAAGGCCCTTTGCCTGGTTCCTTGTAACCTCACTTCTCACAGTGAGGGAACCATCAGAAGGCCCTCAGCGCTGGACCTCAGTGTCGGGGCTGGACGATGGGGGTGGAGATGCTCCTTCAGGTATACTGGGCCAAGGTCGTTTAAGGCTTTAAAGGTCAGCACCAACACTTTGAATTGAGCCCAGAAATGTACTGGGATTGAGTGACTAGCTGCTGAGACAAACACCAGCTGTGGAAGGGTCCTATTAAGTTTCAAGAAGCTGATTTACTTTTGCAGAATCTCAATAAGCTCTACAAATTATGTGGCATGAGAAAGCTTCGCTATCACATCCAATAGGTTCTTCTTTGGGATCCTTTCAAGGGAGAGACTTGCCCCCAATTTACATAATGAAGGCATTTTCCCATCCTCTTCCCATCAGTAAGTTTTCTCTGTTCCTGTGAACTGTATTTAAGGGATGCAGCTGGAACTAAGCCTAGGACTCTCTCGATTGCAAGAAGGAGAAACTGAAATTATTGGTTGTGAATGGGGAGGCTTCGCAAGTGCACACTGTGGGCAGGCTAGCCAACTGATAAGATTGTCATCATGGCAGGTGATGAGAGTTTAAAGGCATCAATGTCACTGCAATATTACAGGGTCCTTGTGACAGCTTATCTGCTCACAGGGCCCCACATTTTCAAGCATTGGGCAAACAATTTTTTAAACACAAGTTAATGGAGTATAAGCAGTAAAAGCTAGCAGGTCTTCGCAACCAAACACAAACATGTGGTATTGGGCCAAAAATGTACTCAGCTTTTAAGAGCAAGCTAATTAAAACGAGTTCAAAGTTTTGTCTTCTGCCTTCAGTGGGACAAGTCCCTGCTAAATCTGTTCAAAGGTTCCCCTCAATACTCCAGATTTGGGGAGGGTGCAAGGGAGAAGAGGAAGAAAGTCCCGTTGCGCTAGCGGTAATCTTTGCACCAAGGGAATGAGTTAGAATACCACTCCACTATTATTAATAATATTCATTCCAGAAACCATCAAGGACTTGGACAAGGTGTCAGTGGTGTGTCACATTCACTCAGGCAGATACTTGCACTCAGGACCACTTTTTAATGACTATCTGGAGAGGTGGAAATGTGTCCAAACTGACTGTCCTGATTTGTCATTTGAGAATCATTTCGTGTCTAGGATTCTAGGTGCTGCTTGAAACTTGCTAATGGACTACCCCCCAGAACAAAATACATTTATAAAGCAACATGTAATTAATAAATGTGTGCTTGTAGCCTTTCTAAAAGTCCTCTCTGTGAAGCTTGGATGCTACACACGCTTACTGAATAGTGAGCGGACAACACCTAATGATATTGATATGCTTGCATAATGGAAATCCGCTTGTGCAACAAGACTTCTGATTTTCCTTCTCCCCACTGTGCCCCCACCAATATCTGCTTGCGAGAGACTGTCAGCCTTCCAAAGCAGATTTTTGGGGGCACACAGGGAAGGAGAAACATAGACCCACTCGTGCTATGTTGGAACGCATTGCTCTGCACACTTTTGCCTCTGCCCCCCCCCACCATGGCCCCTTAAAAAGGGTCCCCATCCTTGCTCCAGATGTTCTTGGGACTCCACCTCCCATCAGTCATCACCAGTGTGGCCAATGATCAGCAAATGATGGGAGTTGTAGTCCAACAACATTTAGGGAGCTATAGGCTCCCCATCCCTCCTATAAGTCCTGCCTTAAAAGTTGGAATAGGAATAATCAGTCAAAGGGATTTAAAAAACACACACACACCATCATTTATGTTAATAAATGGTAAGAAACACTGCTTTCTCCTACACAGATGTATCTTTGGTACTTAGGAACATAAAGGTTGGTAACATTAAGGCCTACAGCTGCAGTAAAATAAAGCCTGCTGCATAACTCTTTCTGTTCATTTTCCCTTAACTAAAAGGCATCAACGCTAGTCTGTGTATTGTGCGTAGGTCAGCTTTAATGACCACACTGCAATAGTCCACCATCAAATCATCTATCTGCACAGCTCTAGTCTACTGTTTATTTAGGCATTATTAACGCAAAACTGTGTCACCCAGAATTAAGTATGCATTACCTGAAGGGCTTAGCTATTCCATGCAAGAGAAGGAAGGATAAACTAAGTCAAAAGAGCACTAAACTGAGGTAAATAACCCCCCCCCCACACACACACACTGTAAACTGGATCCCCACTTTATTTTAATTTGCCTCAGTATAGCAGGGAATGGGCAGTGTTTTTATTTTTCATAAAATTGTCCCTAATCAAAGTCACAAATTAAGCCACACAAAATGCTGAAAAGTTCTTCAAATCCCAAATGTCAATTTGACATTTGTAGCAAGTATCCATTTTAGGTATCCAAAGAAAGGAATAAGCTTAAAAGACAGCCGCCATACTGTCTTTAAACAGAAAGACAGTTAATACATAATTAAGTAGAGTCCACAGAGGGATACAATTTCCTCAGAGTTCATGGTCCATATTTCTCTTCAAAGAACCACAAAAACTAATCAACGTAATAGATTAAACAAAAGGGGAATTGCTGGTGTCCAGATATGACTGAAGTAAAAGGGCAGCATAGCAGGAAAATGACACAGATGTTGTAATAATTGGCAAATGATCCAGTCCTGTCCCTTTATGCTGAAAAATCTGACTCCAAAAACTGATAAATTCCCTACAGTGGGTGCTTAACATAAATTAACTCTTTCAAAATAAAAGAACTACACACTACTAGCTTTAGAAATTGCTGTAAAATTTTGTGGAATGAAAAGTCTACTTACCATTTAAAATGATGACAAACATTACCCTGATTAGTTGCTTGTGGCATCTCAGGTCCTCCAAAATCTAAAAGCAGACCAAAAACAGGGAACTATGCCATACAGTTCTGATTTGCAATTGTCCTTTGCCTGTCTTTTTAAAAATGTACTGCTTATGTTTTTTTCATCCTCTGTCTGAAAGCACAACTGATCTCCCTTCCGCTGGTTTCTTCCACAAACCTTTCCAACCAGCAACCCAATCCTTCGCATCTTTATTTTCAGAGTGAATTGGATTCCCTCTAAATTCAATGGGACTTTCTCCCAAAAAATTGTGCATTGGATTGCAATACTACTTGCCCAAACAGTCTTATAATACATCACACTGAAATATGAAGTGGACTGGAAATAATGTAAATGTATGGCTATATGTAACCAGCCACAGATACTTTCCTCCACCAACACCTAAAGGACTGGTTACCTGCCTCCCTTACCTGACAGGGGGATGTCTGTGTTGTCCCTTTTTCTTCTGAAGCTTGCGGTTAGCTCTGTTGCAGCATCTCTGAAAGGCTGGCATTTTCTCTGCTCTCAAAAGCTATCATTTAATGGCAGGAAAATCCTCTGTATCAGGGGAGGATTAGCAGAGACGGATGAATTTGTCTTGTTCCATAAAGCTCCTGGATTGTTGACAAATCCATCAGCTTTTATTCCCCTCACACCCCCCAAAAATCAGACAGGAGCTGGCCCTCAGCCATCCCCAGCATTACAAAGGAAAACAACCCTCGCCCAGTGCTAGTTACATAAGGAGAGGCATATAATTATGTTTGAGGGCAAGCTTATGATTTTAGCATACACAGTGACTGAGGAAGGCACACACCTGACTTCTCCTATCAAGGGAAAGTCTCAAAACTCAGCTGCCTGCCATAATCTGAACCACAACACACAGCAGTGGAACTGGATCTACCATTGGGCTGAGTGAGGAAGCCACCCCAGAAAGCAGAGGCTGGGACAGAAATGTGCCCCCCACCCCCAGTCTTTGAACAATGCCCCCACAGGTGCAGTGGGGAAAATGCTGTCCAGCCACCAGGGCTGAAGTAACAAACATTTCTGGTGCCAGATGCTGTTCTCTTAGCATGCACAACCAACCTGCTGCATAGTGCAGACTGTGGCCATCAGCTGCAGTCATGCAACTGGACTTTATTTGCTCTCCCTGCCCCAGCATGCCTTCCAGATTGGGGGAGGGTGGAGCAAAAGGCAAAGTTCTGTTGTTGAAACATTAACTTGCATGTTTGTGCTTTTCGGTGCATCTGCACCCAGTATTTGTGGGAGAATCAGGCTTAAGCCTAATTAATGCATGAAAGGGTTAAGACCATAGAGTAAGCTGTCCTGCCAGGTTTAACTAGGTCACTTCCCCTCACATTAGGAAGAGGATAAAGCCTTTGTTCTTCCATTCCATCTACGACCATGTGACTTAAGCAAGCCATCCTTGTGTTTCTATACTTTAGGAACTTTCACGACTTTGGAACTCCAGTCTTACCGCTTGTCTTTTCTGACTGCTCTATGGAAAAGCACGTGAATCTGATCTTTGAAGAGTTTGTAAGTAAACCATCTTTAACTTACCAAACACGTGGTCTTTTTCTATGCTAAGAGAAGTGGAGAACTTTAGAAGCAACCGAGGGGTTATTTTAAAGGTCTACTGCTCCATCCACACTTTCCTTTGCTGTACGGTCGTACCTTGAAAGTCTAACAGAATCCGTTCTGGAAGTTGTTTGACTTCCGAAACATTTGACTTCCAAAGCGCGGCTTCCGATTGGCTGCAGGAAGCTCCTTGTAGTACTTATTCCAGGGGAACAGGGGACAGCAAGGTGTCAAGGGATGGATATAGTCAAAAATATATAGAGGGCACCAGGTTGACAGTGTATTAGAGAGCTGCCAGCCCTATCCCCAAACACTTTAGTTACTGAGGGGGTGGGTTAAGAGTTCTTACCATAAAAACCCAGCTTAATTCACATAATTTTCAACTCAATGCATCATTTGTATGAGACGAATACTTTAATGGCTTCCTGGCAGACTTGTCTTCCCAGGCTTTTATCACGTCTTAATTTTGTTCCTTCTTCCATTGTTGTATCGTGCAATTACATTGCAAACTGCTCTGCTAAATTTTATATTGCCAAGAACAGTAAATCAAACTAAACTTCCAAGTTAAGATTGTGAAAATCACATTTCAATTACAGAGCTTTTTAAAGCTTGACACCCTATAATCTCCAACCATTCTCAATTTGTCTGAGCTGCTGTTCTCAAAACGACTTTTGGAAGATTGTGCTTTCTGTATTGGAAGTTACCTTCCCCATCTGCAGTCACTTACTCCAGCAGCAATCTCAGGGGTTAAGTACCTTCCTGTACCAGGTGTGGACACAACTTTATTTCAGCATTTTATTCCACCTTTAAGTAGTTTAATGATGGTTGAGTTGTGTGAATGCTGAAGTTTCAGGTGCTTTGTTTAAACAGAGATCTGTTCCACGTTTATTAAGTAGCACCACCCTATTCCATCAAGATACTACTCTCTCCTTGTTGGAGAAGTCATTATTTTAAAGATAGAAAAATTGTATTTTAATGATTTAATAATAAACATTCAAGCACCTCTGAATTGAAAAGGGCACTTGGGCTAATTAAAACCACACATTCCCTTTTCACACCCTTCAATTACTATATGGACATAAAACATATAATTCTGGAAATATATTGGGGTGAATTCTGACACTGAAAGTGTTTTGGTGTCAAAACTCTGAATGGCGTGCAAGATCATTCTGCAAGGGGTTAAATCCACATACCACTGATCAGATGTTTGGGAGGAAAGGGGTTTGGGGCAAAACCTATTATCTGATCAAGCAGCCATTTTTCTGCAGGTGGAAGGAAGACCCACCACATCCCCACATTTAAGAACAACATCCCCACATTTAAGAAAACATGAACCAAAACAGGCCATTAGGTCTGGGGGACCAAGCAGAACAGCTACAAGGGGCTGTTTCATATAATGACCTTTCCTAGCTAAATGTGTGAGCTGCTTCTATTAGAAACTTGCATCTGTGGCACTTAATCTGGGGTGTCTCACTGCAATCAGTAATGATTAACAATGAAAAAGGAGAAGCACATTTTGTCACCAAGAAAAAGACCAAACATGATAAAGTGCATTTCAACTTTTTATTTTATTAAAATTGAGAGCAATGCACAGCACATGCAGTGCTAGCATCTAAACTAATACAATAAGCAATTACTAAACCTACAGTGACTTGAAGTTCAAATCTTTACATTCAGCAAGTTTAAATCCGTTCATTGCATATGATTAAACCCATTCTTTGCATATGATTGAATCCTTATCTGAACTGAATAATATTGCTGGCTGTAAAACTTGCTAAAATGCTATTGCTGAATGTACAAGTCACTGATTATGCCAATACAACAAAGATAACCACATGTTTTGAGGATTGCAATGTGCCAGACATTCACTGAAAAAAAAACCACACAACTAAACAAAAACTCACGCAACAAACATCTGAGAATCTGGACACTTCACGTCAGTGTTTTGAAGTGTTTCATTAATATCTTAAGACAAGTGTATCAAAACCTTGGCATGTTTAATTTTAAAGTTGCCAATTTTTGTTTTACTATCAGAAAGTTATGGCTACATTGCCAATGCCGGGTCTGCTTAATTTGACTTAAGAGTTTAATATGACTTAAACATTAAAAGCTCACACTACCCCGAAATATATAATTTCACGCATACGGTGACATTCAACATTCAAGTGCCAGTGTTTTTGTACTGTCTTTTGGTCAAGTTTCTTTAAACTTTCAAAGAATCACTTTTAGGCTTACAAAAATAAATATTTGTCAAAAATGTTCAATAAATATTACACAAAACTAGCAGCAAAAAGTATCTAGAAATCTGTCGTGTGCAAAGTTTTCTTCCCAACCATTATTCCCATGGTCCCAGTTTTAGAATCTAGTTCCTCCTCCTTAGACAAGCTGCGTTCAGTCTCCCAAGAGACAAAATAAGATTGGAAGTTAAGGACACGCACACAAGACATATAAAATTCTCTGAATGTGCAATAAAAGAAGTATTTTGTAAAAAGTTATGGGCAAAATGTACAAGGGCCTAAATCTAGACTAATTGAAATAGCACCATAACAAATGACCTCAAATACTGTCAAGTGCACCTACTTAAAGTTTAGAACAAGGCACAATACACTTGAAAAGATCTATTGCACTTTAGGAGATTTTGCTGTTGTCCTATGCCACTTAGACTAAGAGTTGGTAACAGCTCTGGCCGCAGAAGATAGCTCAGAGAAACTAAGTGGCAGAGGCATTTTACTGTTGGAAATACTTATCTTTGGCCAGATTCAGCATAACAGACTAAATACAATGGAAACCTATGCAACTAAAACTGACTAAAACTGCACTTGATAGCAGAATTGAAACCTTGTGCAGTTATGTACATTCCAACCTTTGTGATCTCAGAATTTGTTACTCTTCTGGAGCCATTTTACAAGTCTACAGTAAGCCAGTTAACACTTCAACGCAGCTTGAACAGAGTAATGTGAATCTGCATTAAAATAAAGCCTGCTGCATAATTCTTCCTGTTCATTCCCCCTTGACCAAAAAACATCAACACTAGCATGCGTTAAGACCCAAAAAATCAGTCAGGCCCTTAAAAGGTGGACCCATCACTGTTGTGGTCAGCCATTCTACCATTTCAATTTTAATATGGCAGGCAATTTTGAAAAGTCTAAGTAGATGAATTCTCCTAAAAACTATTTCAAGTTCAGACCTTTAAACATTCCCTGTAATGTTCCGCCTCCATTTGGCTAGCTCACATTAATAATCTGCCTAAACACTGGAATTGCTGTGTTTACTTGCATTAACTTTAAAACAGTGCTTGTATGCATGTATCCATACATCACTTCATCATCATCATCATGACTGGAATGGCTTATTAAAGACTATCAGGTTCTAAGTACCTATCCAGGATAGAGTGAGCAAATCAACTTTAACTTAGTACAGTTTTGCCACATTAGAAACTAATTCCATTGATATGCTTCAAGATGTTTTATTTTTTCAAATCTGAGTATCAAAGCCCTAATGCAGGCCACCGCACAAGTTTTTTTTTGTAGTATAAAGTGGATGAATCAATGATTCCTGTAAGTTGTATCACACCTGCGTGCCAAGGTTTGATTTTTTTAAAGCCCAAGTAGAGTAATTTTGTCAAGACAATTGATAATCTTGGGCATTACTGAGCCAACAGGACATCAAAATAAAAAGTTGTCTAAAGTTAAAGGCACAGTACATTAACAAATGATCCTCAGTCACAAAATTATAAATACAGTCCGGGAGTAGGGGGGTGGAGGAGTTAATCTCAACTACAATGGAGTCTTTAAACCTTCAAAGTAGGGCTTCTGTTCCTTTCCTTCTTCTTGTGACCTTGAGCTCCCTTAAAAAAAATTCAGTGGAGAATCACAGCTGGTAATGTACTGCGAGTTCTTGAAGCTACACAAGGTATAGTCTGGCTAAGTTACATGTGGTTTCCATATTAGCTTGTTTGGTAAGAATCTGCAGCAAGCAGATCAGTTGCCCCACCAATCTACCCCCTGAGAGTTATAGTTTCCTCCATATCCATCACTGTTATAGAAGCCGCCATAGCCACCACCTCCACCTATTAAGACAAAAAGGCAAGAAGAGTTTATGACCAAGTGAATTTACCTTTACAATCTTATTTTTCTACAGTTTGGGAAAAACCCAAAAGTTTAGATTTCCCCACCACCTTCCTTCATTCCAACAGCCCCAGGCACACTGTGAAATGAAACTCACCTCCAAATCCTCTGCTGCCTCCATGGCCACCGCCACCACCACTGCCACCGCTGCGCCCACTACTTGTGCGGCTGCTGCCAAAGCTACTGCTGCTGCTGGTACTGCTACTTGTTCGATAATCTCGGGCACCAAATCCTCCACTGAAACGGCTAGAGGAAAGAACAGCAACAAGTTGCAATTAGAAGACCACGGTTCCTTAAGTATGCTATTTAATACATTTCCTAATTCATTGCCCTTCATGTTGCTACATCAGGAAATTCAGTTAATCAAACATCTTTGCTAGTTCAGCAATTGCCAGTCCCTTGGCTAAAATGATGTACTCTACTAATTTTTAATGTTATGTATTTCATTTTCAATAAAAGATCATATTTTGGGAGGGGGGGCGCCAAGCAAAGCAATGCTGGCCCCAATCCGTTTCAGAGCCAGTATCTGAAGAAATGCCCACTTCCACATAAACCAGCCTAAATGCCTCTGGCAGCCCCTGCCTTCAGAGGCTGGGAGAAAAGCAGCCAGATAAAGGGCCTTCACAGCTGAGGCTCCCAATCCGTAGAGCACTCATCCAGTGCAGAATTGTGTATTGCCAGGTAAAAGGGAGTCTCATAAAAAAAAACCCCAAGCAAACAGATCTGTTAAATCTGCCTTGCTGATTCAAAGTAATAGTTTATAAATGTTTGAGTTACAAGCCACCATGAGAGCTCTAGAAATTGAAGGGCAACCATTTTTCACCTAAGATCTCAGCTGCTGATTAATAATAAAAAATTAACTATTTTGATGGTGCTTAATAATGGAATCGTAATTGTGTTACACCAAGCACCTTCTGCTGAGTAGGCTTATTATATGGTCCATACTCCACTAAAATATCATTTCCCCAGAGCCACCGAGGGCAGTGGTTTCAATTTTTTATCATGCTGCTCCATGTGTCCTCTTTAAAAGCAACCTCTCCCAGGCTAGTAATTACTACTATTCTCATCCTGAAGACAAAGGAAGAGCAGTATCTTGTCTTCCACTGAAGGGCCAAAGGGAGGAATACAGAAGTAAAATATTATACCGCTATATGGAAGTCAGGTATTTTGCTTTGATGTTGGGTATCATTCCAACTCATCTACATGACATCTAACTGCTTAGGGATTAACTCAACTTACCCTTTTGATCGCCCACGACTGCTTCCACCCTTGTGAATCTGCTCATATGCCATATTTTCTAGCCAAGATGGTACTTCCTGTTTAGCTTCAACAAGTAGATCTAGCAAATCTTTTGTGATATTTATGTTCCTCTCATTGAAGAATGATGTGGCAAGACCTAAAGAAAGAGACACAGCATATTAAGGCAAGGCAAGGAAGCTGTATGTTCAAAATACCAAAAGCAGGGGTAGGACATATTCCTGAGTGCTCTCCAATGACACAAACTTTTAGTTACAGCTGTAGCTGAACTGTAAAGCAGAATTCACGAAATTTTGTACACAGGCATACAATGAGATCCACCCTTTCCCACATAGAGGTAAAGCCATCTTGCCGTGTGCTTTGCAGGAATGGGAATATTTCATGTGAATCTTTCACAACATGCCTCTGTTAACCAGAGATCTTCTGCACAAAACCAGTTCTAACCTACTCGACTGTCTACTCAGTTACCAACTTTTTCACTCTCAAAGCATGCTGATGGAGTTTAGTGACATTAAAAGTCCACATAGTATGCAAACACGAATGCTTATACAGTGGTACCTCAGGTTAAGTGCTTAATTTGTTCCAGAGGTCTGTACTTAACCTGAAACTGTTCTTAACCTGAAGCACCACTTTAGCTAATGGAGCCTCCTGCTGCCACTGGAGCACGATTTCTGTTCTCATCCTGAAGCAAAGTTCTTAATCTGAAGCAATATTTCTGGGTTAGCGGAGTCTGTAACCTGAAGCATATGTAACCCGAGGTACCACTGTACCACCGTGGAAGTTTTATCAAGGTGTTGATGAAGAGTGTCTTACCAAGATTCCCGACACGGCCTGTACGGCCAATGCGATGCACGTATTCTTCTATGTCACTTGGCAAATCAAAGTTTATGACGTGTTTTACATTTGAGATATCCAATCCTCTTGCTGCTACCTAATGAAGATAAAGAGTCAGCCATCAGCTCCCCATAAGCTGAAACTGCAGTATAAAGAGCCAATACAAAGACACAAGCATTTTCTTAACAAAGTCTATACTTACTGCAGTGGCAACCAAGATGGGACTTCTGCCTGAACGGAACTGGTGCAATGCCTCTTCCCTGTCTCGCTGAGAGCGATCACCATGGATGCTTGTGCAAGCATAGCCTTCGTGGTAGAGGAAATCCTCCAGAGAATCAGCCCCCTTTTTAGTCTCCACAAACACCAGAGTCAAGGAATCTTTTCCTATGTAAGCGAAGCATCTCATTAGCAAAACAATGCCAAATCTATTGTTATAGCACCACCAAGTGGCGCAAACTAGTATTATGACTGCAACCATAAAAAAATAACAACTTTACTAGTCAAGCTAGCTGCATGCAGATTAAAGAAAAATATTCAAATATAGGAGAAAACAAGGAGGAAAAGTCTGAAGCTTTTCCTCCACCTAACATAGATTCTCATTACCTGAGCCATTAGAGTTGTGTTGGATTTCTCCCAAACAGTCTTTACCTGTGGCATTTAGGAGGTCAAGCAGAAATGACCGTTTGTCTGACTCTTCCACCCACACTACTTTCTGTGTGATGTTCTCAGATGTAGAGCCAACTCTGCCAACAGCCAGAAAGATATATTCCTCCAAGAAGTCACGAGCAAGCATCTTCAAAAGAGAGAACTCTACTCAGTATGGGAGACACTTAAATAATGAATCCACCCCCATTAGACTTACCTATAGCTATAAGCTTCCATGGACGCATACAAACTAGGTGTTTCTCATCATATTTTTAAACTAGAAGCAAAGTATTTGGGGGGGGGGAATACTTGGAACTTTTCTTGTTCTCTATCTATGGGTTAGCTGTCTACAACAGCAGCTGCTTGCTGGTTTGAGTATCACCACTTCTATAGTATGCTGACTCACTGGAAATGGGGCATTCAACTACTTTGCAAAACAGAATACCTGAATTTCCTTTGGAAAAGTAGCACTGAACATCATAGTCTGACGGACACCTTTGGGTGGCATAGTGTCTTGCTCAACAATACGACGGATTTGAGGTTCAAACCCCATGTCAAGCATACGATCAGCTTCATCCAGTACCAAGTATCTGGAAGGTATTATAAGACCACATTAGGATTTCCAAGACTCCGTGTTAATATGCTGCTGTCAAAATGCTAAAATTATTAAAATATTATATTATTTTCACATACTTGCAAAAGTCCAGTCCAATCTTTCCTCTCTCCATCATATCTACAAGACGACCTGGAGTTGCTACAAGCAAATGGCAACCACGTTCCAAGTCACGTATCTGTTGACCAATGTCGGCCCCACCATACACGACGCAGGGGCGGACTTTGGAGCGATATGCAAACTAGGGGAACAAAATTTAGTTTTAGAATTCAAGACTTGAGATATCAAGTTCCTAGGAGCACAATACCACAGGGCCTCATGTGCCCATCCCCCTTGCCCTGGGATTTTTGCAGATTCCCTCACCCCATTTTTTTTTCCTTTTAAGATTTTTCTTGGGGGGGGGGATCAGTGACCACTACTGCTGTGATTCTGTGATACATGAAAGCTTTTTAACTACCCACCCAATTTTCCTCTTTTAAAAGTTAGCAATTTGTCACTTGCACCTTCAGCTCCTGTATTATTAACCATAGGTCAATGTGGCTGTATTAAGCCACTCCCTGAATAATACTTACTTTTCTGGCTTCTTCATATATCTGCACTGCCAGCTCTCTTGTGGGAGCCAAAACGAGTGAGATGGGATATTGCTTACGGCGTCCATACCTTCCGTTTTCCTGCAATATTAAGTCCTCATTACCAGCTGGAAAATAAGCCGCTAGTAACAGTTATTTCTCAACACAATCTGCTACCCAAGTGTTTACACCTTTACTTTGCTCTTTTCCATAAAGATTTTTAAAGGTTGTGGTCTGAATCCTGCAGTGTTCATGACTGCACCCAGGCAGGAGAACCACAAGCTGTGCCAGTAACTATTAGCAGCATCACAGCCATTCTAGCAAAGTGACTGAGATGCTGGCTACAACTGAACCTAGACCTACTCTGGATAATTTTGTGCAAACTCCATCCTGATGTGTAAACTTATTTGATGGCAGTGACTTAAAATCAATTCACCTTCTGTTATGGTGGAACCTGTTCTGGATGGGGTTCATGCACTGTCCGGGAGTACTTCTGGATCCATTACTGTCACAGCAAGCACAAGTGGCCTTAGTGGACCAGTGCCTCCAACAGGTTAGACTGGAGAGGGAAGGCCCAGTTGCTTAGTCTACATTATGGCAACCTCTGGGATATATTACTGCAATGTGTTATGTGGGGCTGCCTTTGAAGACAGTCTAGAAACTGCAGCTAGTGCAGAATTCAGCAACCAGATTGCTGCCTGGAACTACATCGGAACATACAACACCAGCAACCGCACTACAGGTTGACTACAGGTTTCTGGGTGGGCTCCATTCAAAGTGCTGGTTTTCACCTAAAGCTGTACACACATCTTATTGTCCTTTTTTCTGTGCTTCCTGAGAAGAGAGATGAGGAGGGTCGCAACACAAAAAAAGGCCTTTTCAGTGGTAGCCCCCTAGGTGTGGAATGCTGGGGAGAGGTGCCTGGCACAATTATCAACTTTTAGGCAGTAGGCCAACATTTTGTCATTTACTCTGGCATTTGATTCTTATATGCTATAATGGTACCCTAGCCTGCTTTAATATTTATCTTTTAGTGGGGTGCAAAAAAAATCCATCCTTTCTACAATATTGCAGGATGATTGCTTTTAGTAAATTATGTTGCTTTATGTAGTAAGCAATGAATAAATGTAATAAAGGGGTATATTTGTACTCAAGATCTACATTTTTCAGCAATGTAACAGAGATGGCAATGCGCACAGTGCTAAAGTGAAATACTGTATTGTTTGTTTAAACAAGATATAATGAACTTGCCTTCATTGCTCTGAGGGCATCACCCGGGCCATCTGTATATATCTGACTCAATATGGGCAGAAGAAATGCAGCAGTTTTTCCAGACCCTAAAAGAAAAGACATTTAATCTTGAAAGCAATGCAAAAACATTTTCATTCCATAAATCCCACCCAAATGTTATGCTCCATCCATCCTGTACTCATTTCAAATTAATCTGAAACTGGCATTAAATTTAGGGTGGTATTTTAAATCCTAATATACATCTTACCTAATTAGTGTCCATGTTGTGCTAGAGTCAACTGCCAGTAAGGGAATGGCCTATCCCTATTTGCACCCAAGAACCTTCAACTAACACCCCAAAAATTCTCAATTACAACACTGCAGTAACAATAGCAAAAACAAACTTGCCTGTCTGGGCACAAGCCATCAAGTCTCTCTTGTCTTTGATGATAGGGATAGCATATTTCTGCACTGGAGTAGGCCGAGTGTAGCGGGTGAGTTCAATGTTCCCCATAATGATTTCTCCCATGTCAACATCGCTGAACTGCAACAGAGTTCAAGTTATTAAACAACCTGGTAAAAGCCCAAAAAGTTTGCTTTACACTCATAAGAGGGGAAGGCAGAGGATGGGCAGAGAATTGCCCCTCATTTTCCAGCATCTTGCTAAAAGGCTGGATAACAACAAGTCTTGGAGTGGGCTAATGCAGATGGAAGAAACTTCCCATCTTCCTCACCAGCCCATTTGATTCTTATGTAGGATGGCATGTCCCCTTCCTTTCTTGGTATCCCCTTTTGTTTATGCTGAATACAAAGGCAGCAAAGCATCTTTCTCAAAGCCTAACGTAAAAATATAGTGTGCTGTTGGAGGCAAGGAGAGTTATGTTCCTCCTCCAACATCCTGCATTCATTCATCTGCATGCAATTCCATGTTGCCTATAGCAATCCCATAGATTATTAAAGACAAAGACTTTTAAGTAAAGTGTCCCTTTTGAAGGACCATCAGATCCACAACGCTAATTTAAATGTATAAAAGTAGTCCCTTGGTATTCTAGTGTAAGCAGCAAACTAGTTGCAGCATTAAACAAATACTTACGCTCTCAATGTGTGGAGGACAGTTGTTGCCTGTTGCTTCAACCGGAATGTCATCATACTTCTCAAAATTAATGCCAGTATTCCCACCAGCAAACAGCTCCCTAGAAGATAAACATTCAATATACTATCACACAGCACTGAATACCTGACTTACAGACCACCAGATCCCACTGCTAGTACTTACTGCTCCACACGTTCACTTGGGGCAAGTGGTTTGGACCAGTCATCTTCATCACTTTTATCAGACCAACGACTGTTTCCACCACGATCAAATCTGCCGCCAAAGGCACTTCTATCACCACCACGACTGCTAATGCCATCAAATTCACCGCCTCTTCCACCACGGTCATCAAACCTAGATTACATGAAATTACACTAAAACCAGTTTTCATGACAGTTTCTGTGATGTGATGTACTAAACACACTAATGAAGCTGCCTGGCTGCTAGGCAGCTTCAAAGTATTTCATGATATAATTAAACAATAAATCCGTATAACACCACCGCTATCTATTTCCCAAAATTTGACATCCCCTTGAGAAGGATATATTACCCCAATATTTCAACTGTCTCATATATGAGGCATGTGGACAGAATACCAATGAAATTTGAGGTGGCACACCTGCCAGGTAGAGGCATTTAATTGTTCAGATTGCATTTTAATCAACGTTGGGAATTGGACTATCATTTAACTCCTCTACTGCTCTCACAACACAATTCTGCCACATCCCCTGAACGCCCCAGCCTCTTGGTCCTTCATCAAACAAGGAGAAAGCTTACTGAAAGAGCTCCTTCCAATCCCAGATATATGCCATAACTGCACAGTTGCTCTAAACTGCCATTCCCCTGTCTTTCTGCTGGGGCATATGTGCTAATGCTAAGAAGGCACAAGGACTTCTATTATGTGGAAGCAAACTTTAGAAGTCCTACAGCAGCAAGTTGGTGGAAATGAGAGGGCAGCCCTATACACATAAAAATTAACATGCTGCAGTCAATGCAAGCCTAAGAGCTACAAAGCAGGCTTTCAACACAAAAAACACATGTCTTAACCTCAGTCAGTTCTCCCCTATTTCTACAGATTACTTAATATTTTACAGTGGTGGCATTCACATTTTTAATGGGAAAAGAGCTACATTTTTACCTTCCTCTTGAACCATTACCACGCTCAGCAAAAAAGCTTGATTTTCCTGATCCACGGTCACTCCTTGCACCAAAGCTACTGTATGCAGCATCCCTGTCTCTGCCAGCATTCCACCCACCATCAAATCCTAGGAATAATAAAATCACCAATGAAATCACTGATTGTGTAGATGCTCACTGTAAAGATACAAAATCCCTCAAACCATCACCATGAAAATGTTTGAGTAATTAGCAGGCTGTTTTAAGAGAAATTCCCATATTTTATTGCACATTTTAAATCAAGGAAAGGCACTGAAATCGGGTGTTTTACTGCCAATATTGCAAGATGGCAGCGTTTAAAAAAGCTGGTCCAGGGTGATTATGTAGCAAATTATATTCAAGAGGCAGCAGCCGATGATTCTCTCGAGCTGCAGCAAACCCCAAAAGCAAAGCCTAGAAATGTCCATTAGGACCCTGCCTACTTTTGTGCCCATGGTGTTGTAGTAGAGTGTGGCCATTAGGCAACTTTTCGTGAACCACTTCCAAAAATTATATCATTATCTTATTCTAGTTGCAATTAATTTGTCTCAAGAAAAAAAAAGGCAACCTGGGCTGAAAACGAGACCTTCCCGGAGTCCATCAATGTGTCCACAGGTACACTGAAGCAAAGATGATGAAACAGAAAGCAGTGAAAAGACCTGGAGACTGATGGTATATCCTGACAGGCAAAATCTGGAGTCGGTGGTAACTGGTATAACGAGGCCACTCAGTGAGAAGCTTCACTGTTCTTGAGACATTCGTATGACTGTTTTATTTGGATAACTATACAACTCCAGAATCCTACGGTAGTATCCTATAGCTGTAACTATAATTAAGGCTCCGGGATCAAAATTCAAATAACCAACAAGAATGAGTACTAATTCTGTAGTTTTCCAGCTGAGGGCAAAACAGCTCTGCAAATGGTACTTTATAAACAAAGCCTCAAACTTCCCTAAGAAGTCTCAACCTGTGCTACTATAACCTGATCTAAGCTCTCTAGAAAGAAGCTGTCTTTATTGCCAAGAGCAGCAGTGGACACTCAAGTTTTGTTGGATGAAAGGTGCCAGGTCTCCCTCGCCCACCTCTGTCATCACGTCCAGATCCTCCTCTGGATCCAAACACACCACGATCACGATCGTAGCCATTCATCCGGCTGTCACGATCATATCCATTCATATAGCCATTACCTCCACGAGAGTCCCAGCTGGGGGAATCTTTGGCAGAGAATAAAGAGTTACAAAATTAAAGGGTAAAATGTGCTAGCAAGTTTTTGCAAGCTCCACAGCCTCAGTGCGACTTTTGCTGCCAGAAATTTACATGAAAGGCTCCTTTCTGGGGAAAGCAGAGTAGTGTTGGGCCTAAATTCTTGATTAGAGATGCAAGCCTTCACCTGTCATGGATGCTGCATTGTGAGCCACTTTACAAAGCTGCAAACCAGGTTTTATGGAAAGTTGTGTATTTAGTTGAGCCAAGAGATTTAAAAAAAAAAACTAATGCAGTGATTCGTATGTGTATTAGTTTTGTGCATCAATACTCGCTGCCATGCTGAAAACAGAAGCATATCCTAAAGAAAGCGAGTCAAACCGACCGAAGCAAGATTCAAGATCCTGTGCTAAACTTGGCAAATATATATTTTATTATGAATGGAATGACAGACCAGTCAACGATGAGTGTTGTATGTATTATTTTGATTACAAATCCTGCTTCCTAGTAAGAGCAGATTGCACTATAAAGTTCATAAAATGATGTTCGAATCTAAGCCAGTTTAGTGATGCAAATGAACCTTGGTGAACCTTGGGCTCCCACACTTTCCTTGACACGCTAACAAGGAGTTCTTGAAGGCTTCAACTTATATTTGTGCTTGACCACAACTTGTTATGCCTGGGTTGGCCACTGTGGTGCTCTGGAGGACATCCATTAGAATTTGTGCCATTGATATGTTTGTGATAGTGGGAAGCATCAGATCTGCATTTTTTACTGTGCAGTCTCGCACTGAAATCTTTATTCTCATGGCCATTTTCTGGGTATCTTTATTTCTACAGGATCCAGTGTTTACTCAAGTCAAAAACGTGTGCTTTCTGTCTGCAGGGGGAGATGGAAAGAGATGAGAAAGAAGCAACCAGAGGTGGTGACGCCCACAGAACTCTCATCATTCCAAATGTGCCCAATAGCCCAAAAAGATTGGTATCAATGCTAGATGTCCAAACTGACAAACTGGTGAATATTAACTACAGAACCATTTGCGACAAGCCAAGTTGAAACCAGAATTAGCATTAACAGGCTTGTCAATTTGGACATAACAAACTGCACTTAACAGAAAAGAAGTCTTAACTCCTCTTGATGGCTGCACACCAAAGGAAGCATGAGAAGGAAGTGTATGAGTCCAAGGCTTGCTTGCATCACACTTGACTGTGATTTAGCATGATATCCAAACTATCACACTGTTACCTCAGGGGGTTGTACTGATTCTTCAATTCCTAGATGATGCTAACTGCAGACACTACTTAAGCCCTAGTAAGAATATTGTTCACTACAAGGTTTCTGTTCACTACAAGATCCTTCCACTGACACATGTTTGGTACTTCCAAGATGCTGAATTTACTTGTCTGACTAACATAGCAATCCAAACTGTCCAGGCAGCTGCAGGGTTTAGCAGAGCCACTGCCACACCCACAGCACTCTCACTCACGCTGGTCAGGTTGGAAGGCAAGAGCAGAGTTGTTGTAGCTATCAGGACCAATGCAATCAATTGACAACAGTGGGGTCTGCTCAGGATCCAGCAGATCCCAGGCCAGTTGAATTACCCTGATCCCTACCCAGTTAGGAACTTTTTATGAGCTGGTGGAGTGAAGCTTGCTGGCAGTACTCCTACCAGTGAACATTTTCAGCGGGTGAATAGGGAATCTGCACCGCCAGAGCAGATTGGTCTGGATTCACTAGAGGGAGCCCCCTGCCACCACAGTAGATTAGGGAGTTTGACAGCACCCTAACATTTATACTTTCTGCATTTAACAATTTACTGTACATGTATTTCAGTTTTTTATGAAGTTCTAGAAAAATTGTTTGTTCACCACTGTTAAAACAAAAAGATTTTACATCTCTAGACTGAAGTAAGATTCTGCTCCATCTAATTGTTATTCTTTAACATTCCAAAAATCTGAAGTTTGTGACAGATTTCAAAATGCCAAGTTCTACTAAATTACCTAGAACAAGCTATTCTAAATATTTCAAACTTATCCAACCTATAAGCAACCAAAATGCAAAAGAACTGAAAAAAGCAACATGACATCTGTTGGAATAATAGTTTTCAAAGATGTAGTACATTAGGCTAATATGTAAACTTAGAGAACCTGTCCAAGGGCTTAGGGGAGAAGTTCATAGATTTTTTTTATTGGGAAATTTTGTAAATAGGATTAAGCACACAACCCCTCCACTAATTAAGGAAAATAATTATTAGTATTTAAGTTCAGAGCATATTGTGTATTTCCTTCCATATTTAAAAAGATTTTATTAGGTGTCTAAAATTCTATATCCAAATAGAATGGTTATTAATGGCTACTACTTACAGTAGCTATTTACTACCTCCAAGTACTGTATCAAGAGGAAAGAACTAGAATTGTTGCGCCAAGCTTCTGCTTGTTGGCTTCGCATAGGCATTAGGTTGGCCAGGGTGAGAGCAGGATGCTGGACTAGATAGGCCTTTGCACCGATCCAGAAGGACTCTTCTTACATCTTATTCACACCAGACAGCACTGCACACTGTTTGGCTTCAACATGTAACTAAATAAACTGTGGGGCATGGTAAACATGCTAGAAAATTAGCACTAAGAAGGCTTGGCAACTTTCAAGTGTCTTGTGGGCCAGCTACTTTTATGCCATGTTTAATAAATCAGAATATCCAAAAAACAATTCCAGCACTTGCCAGACCGGAGTATTAGGATTGTTGTGGGTTTAAATTTTATAAGGTGCAGAATTGGAAACCTTTCCTTGTCTTTTTCAGTCTATCCATTAGAAGTGACAAAAGCTTGCTCAGGTACAAAGTGCAACTGAAGTTGTAGTTTCCTTAATGTGTAGTTTTCCTTAAATACAGTAAGCCAGTAGATTAAACCCGCAATTTATGCAGAATTTACGTTCCAGGGATTGCACCTAAAGCCAAATTCAAAACACATTGGGTTCAATAGCGGGTGGGATTTCCAAATAAATATTTTCTTGAACCCCGCTCCCTTTTTGTTTTTTGTCACATGTAAAGCTGAATGCTAACTGTGTGTAAGTTGTGGCTTTACTGTATTCAAATTAATCCTTAAAAAGTTAAAAGTTGCAGGCAAAGGAAACATGCCTGACAATGAGCGTAAAGGAACAAATGCTCACACTGTTAGTCGACTGCAAGTTATGACTATGCAATATGCTTACAGGCATGCTCTCAAATGACAATTTTTTAAGACAACTCCATCCTGACACCAACTTACAGCTTCTTGGTGGCATCGAATTGGAATAGTAGTTTGCCGCATAGTTATAGGCATTACCTGCTGCAAAAGAGCCATAAAACTCCCAGCATTATAATTCACTCCAGTTCAAATGCATAAAAAACTCAACATAATGGTACAGAAGAATTTCTTCAACCTGTAAAAGATATTTTACTCAAGCAACATAAAAATATCCGTGTGAAGATGTCAACTTTCCAGGCTTCCACATTCACATTCACTCACCAGCTCACCTTTGGCGATGAGAGGGAAGGGGAACAAGAGCACTCTCTTGCCCCCTGGTGGCCAGGACAGGGGAACCCCGTCCTGCTGCCAAAGCACATGTACAGAGGACTTAGGAATGGCAGGAGCCAGCCTCTCACCAGGTCAAGACACCCCGAGAAGCCAAGATAAACTCTCAACAGCTCCAAACAGTCCAACACAAGGAGTCCTTTCCCTCAAGAAAAGGGCAATGCATCTGATTCAACAGGTATTGTGCTACGTCACACTCAATAATTTATACAGCTGCTTTTAAGGGTTGCATCCTAGTCCTACTCATAGTAGACCCATTGAAATAAACAAACATGGCTAACTTAGGTCCATTAATTTCTATTGATCTACTGAGAGAAACTCAGAATGAACCACATGTGTACAAGAGAGAATAAGCTTTCCCCTGGGAAAGGTTCATCCTATCCTCTTGTGTTGGGTAGTCCCTGGAAGCAGCAGGAATCACTCTTCAATGTTTCTAAGCATGTCCTTGTGAGGCAACAACTTCCAAATGCGCACGGGCACCTGTATCAGTCTGTTGCAAAAATAAAGGAACTAGTGACATATTTGACCAACTGTGATAAGAGCTTCTGTGGATTTTTTGATACAACTCTATTGGTCTTTACAGTATCCATACCTACACGAGGAGAGAAGGGTAAGGACAACAACAAACAGCTGGATATCAATGCCATTAAGTATTTGTTAGCCCCAATACAACTAAGTTTTCTTGCAAAGAGCTGTTATTTTCTAATAGAAATTAGAATCTGTGAATTTGAACAAGCTTCATCTTATGCCCCTTGTTCTGCCACTATTCACAACTTCTATCAGTTGAGCAATGAAGTGGGCAGTCAAGTTGTCCTGACAATAAGCACCCTATACCTAAACTTTCCTATCTAGTAGTTCGAATACTTGCAAAAGTAGTATCTGTACATTATTTCCCTGCTCCCAAATTCAGTAGCACTTCCAGACCGCTTTGCTGAACTGTGCAGAGATCATGGTTCAATAAAGGACACAATATTCAATCTGTAGATATTTAAATATCAATAAAGGACACAATATTCAATCTGTAGATATTTAAAGTAGGCTTGGAAGCCTGCATCCCAGAAGATGCTGGATTTGCAACTCTTATCCCCTTCAGCCAAGCATGGCCAGAGTTGTAGACCAGTCAATATATGGAAGGCCATAGGTTCTCCACACCTATTTTAAAAGACTTCTGGCAGCAAAGTAGGGAGAGACCTCTATTAACTTTGAGAGCTACTTACCAACGAACCGATTTATAGTCACAGTAAATTAGTTTCTGGCTTTTACCCACAAGCCGATTTAAGCTAAAATACTGAAAGATCACAATTGCAAGTAAGAGGCATCTGAGGCAAGACAAGGTGTCACAGGTTGGGAAAGGGATGAGACCTGATGGTCTCCAGCACTTCAATCCTATTTGAATTAAGCCACATGGAGTAAAACACTAACTTACTCCCAGGTAAATGAGTATTGGATTGCAGCCCAAGTTTAGTTGTTGATCAGACACTATTAATGCATTTATTATATATTCCCTTATAGCATTGGAGGGTTGAATTTTTAGAGTACCGTGATGCAATTTAGCAGATTAAGAGCTTAATCAACCAACAGCTTAAAGCTCAAGAATCCTTGGACAAAGCTCTGTGTTCAAACTTCCCCATAAACAGGCTTGATGGTTACAGGCTACACATAGGGTTTTTCAGGGCATGGTATAGCCACCAACTTATTAGAACAGATTGTACCAAACTATGAAAACAAAAAAATGTCAATGAGCTGACCGCAAGGCTTCCATTAGTAGAATGTGGAGGATTTTCACCAGTACTCCATCAGCTCTACATCCCACCACATCCTTCCTAGATCTCCAGAGGGTTAAGGAAATTTCCACAGCAGATTTAGAGGTCATACAAGAACTGCCTGAAAATTGCTTCCAGTGTCAATCAAGATGATGGTACGGGTATACAGTCACCATTTATTTTACATTTTCATAATGTGTGTGGGCCACTGCCTTACAAATTCTTTATTGACACAGACTCTGATAATGGGGTGGATATTTCAATACAGGAATCACTGCCTGACTTCATGATTACCATAACTTTCAAAATGAGCAAACCATTCTCTTATTCTGCTTGGATGCAAGCACTACATTTTACAACAGATTGCACTGATACTTAAGTAGCTTTATTACTCAAGCCAAATATACAGCTCATCAATCAGCAGCTTGCCTAGCTAACTACACTGAGCCCAAATCTTCCCCGTACCCACTGTAGAATGAGGGAATCTAATTTTTGCCACAGACTTAATAAGTTGTTACTTAAATGTGTACTCTTAATACCTTTCCTAACCTTCAAAAGCCTAGGTACTCATATGTCCAACCCCTTGTACCAAATCTCCCTGAATCTGAGCACCCAACATTTTGAGGTTCTTACAGTTCAATTCAGTTGTGAGCATATTTTTTTAACCCTGATGCTCTATATATTCAAGTACCAACATACCCTGCTTTGAAGCTTCTCTATTCCGTAAGTGAGGAGGAATGTACCGGCCTTCTGAAAGTTGGAAAAAAAGTTTCAGATTAAAACTATGCAGCAAGGTCTGTTGCTCTTTTATTACCAAGATATAACACCTTATTTTGTTTATTGATTAAACTTAGTCATTTTTTGCTGTAGCAACTCTAAATAACTTACAGTATTTTAAGCAAAAAACCAAACCAACATACACATTAAGAAGTGTTTAAGTACTTCATGCTTAAGCATATAGTCTAAACATATAGCACCCCTTCCCAAGTATTTTCAATGTTATAAATATGCAAACAACCAAAAGGTGGCAACACAAGAACAAGCCTTTTGGATGGTGGTTCCCCATTTGTGGAATGCTGTCCCCTAGGGACACTTAAATATATGTAATAAAGGTGCCAAATGAAAACTTTGCTCTTCAAGCAGGCATTTGGCTAATTAACATTCTATGGCTTTCCAAATGTGTTTGTGGGAAGTGGGTTTTGTTTTCTAATGTATTTTGTATTCTCAGACGATATACAAATTTAATACATAATAGTAACAACAATAACTGGAATGTGCTGCTAGCTCACTATAGGAAATGAATACATACCCCGTTTTAGCAGATGAAACAATTTATGTACTCTTGAGTAACACAATCACTAAATCCCTTTTGTTGATACCATGCTCATACTATTGTGCACCAAAACTGTATGCAACTTGCAGTCTACTCCTTCAAGGTCTGCAATTAATTGATTAAGCAGGCACCCAATTTAAGGTTCTTAACATTCATTCAAGTTTCTAGCATGGTAATATGTAATGTATAACAGATTTACGTCTAACTGATTTACACAGAATACTAATGAGATTTAGTAGTCTACAATTACAGTACTTGCAGGATGCCATAGATCTGCTCTCAAGCATCAAAATCTGCCATTTTTCTACTATTGTACTGGACAAACATGCCATCAAATATTCTCTACTAGCTGCAGTAAGATGCTTTAATTCTGAATTATATACTTACTGCTTGCTGTACCTCCTCCACTCTGATCGTCTGAGGAATTCAAGTCTAGACCAGCAAACTTTTTTAAAAAGGAAGAGATAGTCATTCAACCTGATTAATTGAAAATACTTCAAGGATTAAAGAATTTCTAGACTTATCTCACATTTTAAGTTAGCAGGCTCTCCGCCTTAAACACCAGAATAGCTTTGATATTGCTGTTGAAAATTTAATGTCAATTTAAACCATACCTCCTTAAAACTTACTTTGGCTTTACTTAAAGCATGTGACATTGTGGACAAAGCCCTCAATTTAGTGCTGTCTTCCAATATGCTTAATATTTGCATTCAAAAATACAGTAGACTACAACCCAAATTCCCCTTTCCTCAAACGTAACTACTTGTGCCAATGCTTTTAAAAATAAAATGGAACTTAAGCTTACACTGTATACCTTAGGCTTCCTGTAGTTTTACTGAAGCTGTCAAGAAAAAAGGGCCTAGGCCTTAGGATTGTCCAAGCGGTATATACAACCAAGGTAAAAAATACCGCTGCTGAATGTTTTCATGTACTCATGAAAATGAATTTTGTTTGCGGAAGGGGGGGTTAATAAGAAAATCCATTTATATCTAAGAATCCCCTTTTTCAACTTAAGATGGATGCACATCATCTCGCGCGGCCTTCAGACAGAGCCATTAGCAGTTGTACAACGCAGGCTCGCTCGGCCGGGTGGGCCTTGGGGGAAAGCGTTCCCTCCTCCCCGCCCCACAAGCGGGCCTGGCGAAGACGGAGCGCCGCCCCCCCCCGGGGATTTACGGCCGGAGCGACACAAGCAGCGGCGCTCGGCTTTCACTGGCGGCCGCTAATCCGGCCGCGTCACGTGGCTCCTTCCTCTTTCCCCTTCCCGGCCGGCTTCGTGACCTACTTCGGGAGCCGGCTCTAGCGCAGCGCCACCCCGCCCCAAACCGGGCAGAGGGAAGGCGCAACTTCATTTTAAACAGGCTTCCGAGAAGCCAAGACGAGAGGAAGACGCGGCCTTAGGCCTGCCCTCCCCCCCCCCACCTCGTGGGCCTCGAGGACAAAGGAGTCGGGGGCGCGCGCGCGCGCGTGAGGCAGAGCGGGAGGAGCAGCAGCAGCAGCAGTACCAGAGCCATTGTGGCTCCCACTCCCCTCCTCCTCCTCCCCTTCCCCAGACAGAGGGAGCCGCGCACGCGCCTCCGCCGCCAAGCAGCCTCTTTCTCTCTCCCCCTCCCCACCTCGCTTCGTCACACGCACAATGGCCGCCGTTGTCCCCCACCCGCTGCAGTTCCCGGCCGCCGCCGCTAGGGGGCCCGGCAGATGTAAGCAGTCGCCAGCGACGCACAAAGCCCCTACAGCAGGCCTCAAAGGGCCCGGCGGCGCTTCACCCGAGCTACACTCCGCTCTCCGCCGCGCCGCTCCCTTCCCTCGTTCGCGGGGGCTCCGCGGGCCTCGCTCCGCTCCCTTTCCCGAGGGAGGCTCGGGGCTTCGCGGAGGCGCCAATGGGGCGAACCCCACAAAAGGAACTGCGTCACAGTTAAATGCGCCACCAGGAGAGCGGCGTGATGAGGATGCGGGCGGGCGAGGGGGGGGCGAGAATAAAAGGAGTAAAGGGGCGAACTAGGATCGATTCAATGAGTCCGGAGGGCCCCCGAAAACAGGCCGGGGAGCGGGGGGGGATACGCCTCGGTCCTCCAGGCCCACCCGCCATCCCGGCCCCGTTTACCTGCTGATCTAGACCGAGGGCATTTTCCACTGCCACATGACTCATAACGAGAGATCGTGTCGGGAGGTCCCGCTCCGCGTAGAGAAATTCGGATTCACTAGACGTAGAATTAGCCTGGGCCGCTGTCGCTGTCGCCGCTACTTCGCCTCGGAATCGCGTCTCTAACTGAAACCCCCCCAGTTCGGCCCGGGCCCTTATATATTCCTCCGCCCCCTCGCAGCCGCCGTGCTGACTTCAGCACGCAAACCACGCCCCTTCTTCCTCCTCTCGATCCCTTCCCCCCACCTCTGCTTGCAGCAAAAGGTATCGCGGGGAGAACTCTCCGCTCCGCATAAAGAGGTGGGGGGAGGGTGAAGAAATCCCAAGGCTACCGCGAGAACTAGGGAGGCTGCGGACTCCTCCCGATTCAGGAGGATCTAGGTGTTATCGCGAGGTTTCTTCACACAATGTTTACAGCGCTGCTCGCGCGAGATCTCTACCCCTCCCTCCCGGCCCTGGTTTGCCTTCCCCTCCCTCCCGTTTCGTTTCGTAAAGACTCTGGTGAGTCACCCCCCCTCCTCGTTTTCTTTGAGATCTCGCGAGATTTCTGTCCAAATGAAATAAGGCTCTGGGAACAGAGAGGGGCTCCCTAGGTCACGTGGGCATTTCCGTTCGCTCCTGCCGCCATCTTAGGCTGTATGCGGCTGCTGAAGTGGCGCAGCCTTCGGGTGGGGGTAGGGATGTAGTGTGAGGGGCCCAAAGTGGAGAGCCGAGGCGGCTAGGCCGCCACCTATGTCCCGAGGATTGCGAGCAGCAGCACGAGAGTTGGCGGTAACGTCAGAGTGGCGTTGCGCGACTCGCTGCTGCCTTGTGTGTGACCTAGGAGGGGTCGCCTGGCAACCAGCAGCGCGGCCAGCAGCCCTCCCGACGCCCTGTAAACCCTGAACAATGAGGAGGCGATGGCCTCCTGGCGGAGTTCCCCTTCTTGCGCCTTTCCCACCCCCTTCCCTCTGGCGCCTAATGCCCTTGCTTCGCTTGGTCACAAAAAACCCTCTGCAAAGAAAGGCTGCATAGCGATGACCTTGTCTGGGCCTCTCGCATCATTTGCCTATGGAAAATGCTGCCTTCCATTGCAAGGAGGAGTTTGGCCTCTGCCGTCTTAAGTGCGGGAGGCTTCTGACCCCAGAGGTCAAGGTCAAGGGCTGAGAGGCCGCCCAGTATTTTTAGCTCTTCAGGATGCTTCTCCAGAATGCCTGACGCCTTGGACGCATTTTGACAAAGGAGCATAGCTCATAGTACCCTCCCCCCCCCCAAACTTCGTCCCCTAATCACCTGAGGAAAAGCAATTTGACATTGTTGGCTTACTTCAGTAGATCTTTGTATACTCAAAAAGTTAGTTTCTCCCCGTGCATACATGCTAACTTCATATTTGCACTATCTGACACAGTATGATCTTAGGCAAATTTATTTTAGTAAGTCCCATCAAAATAAAAGAGTGCTGCAAGTGCCCCTTGTTCTGAGGCAAATGTGTGTATTCATATGAGTTGTGTATTAGATAGGATACTTTTTGTCTCTTGAAGGAATAAATTGGTCCTATCTCACAGTGCTTGTAAATTCACTTGGCAATATATATTTACAACTCAAGTTGCAATGCCCCTTTTTTGCTGAGGAAACTACAAAATAATTATATTTCTCAACACTAAAAAAACTGGGTTTACCAGTATATGCATCATATGTGCATCAGGGCCACTTATGTGAACTTTTCAGCTCCTAGCACTAAGGGTGCAGTTCTATATACACTTTACTGGAAGTTAAAGAAACAACTGTGGTTTGGTTTGGTTCATGGGTTATTCTAAATGTGAATGTCTTGTGAAAGAGTTGCTAATTTCCTGTGATGCATCTCATGTAGTCTGAATGAACATTGTGGAATATTTGGAGGGGAGGAGGTATGCCACTCCATCCTGAGATTGCCCAAGCATCAGTTCATCCTCTTAAACCATAGAGCCATGAGATGCAGGGAAATTAGCCTTCTGACAGTTATCCACTGGATGGAGGAAGAAAGGCCTGGATAAAGACAATAATAAAGGCTTTATTGCTGTTTTGGGGGACCAGAAGGAGCACTGTAAGTGGCTCAACAGCAGCAGCTGGTAAATGTCTATCTCTGCAGACACACATACAAAACCTACTGCCTGAACAAAGGAAGTAACAATGCTTGTATAACTAAGCATGGTGCTCTCCATGTTGTTTTAAAGCTGGCTTCCACAAAAGCTGTAAATTATGCAAATTGATATGTGAATCCTGTGCACGTTTTCCTGAGAATAAGTCCATTGAACAAAGTAGGGCTTCTGAATCTACATGCATGCAATTAACATTTGCTGGTCATGGAGAAGAACAAGAAATTATGCCCTAGGAGCACTGAAAACTTTATTTGGAAATTCTCTGGCTTCTGAGAGTTCATTAAGAACTGCAGTATACTTTCGAGCCCAACTAGAAACTTGCTTTTTTTAAAAAAGAGAGCTGAAATGCTCAGGATGCTGCCTTCTCTGTTCAGTATCATGCCCAGCATCCTTCCACAGTACTGTAGGATACACACAGCCTTTCTTAAATTCCATGTTCCTAGGGTCAAACACAAGAATGAAAAATGTAACATTGCCAGGATTCTGCCATTTAGCTTAGCAGCCTGGACTATTTTCATCTGTTATGGATGGTCCTTTGTATGTTAGCAAAGTGAGGCAAGGACAACAAATTCTCCCTGGTTTTTTTTCTGCTAGCAGGACCTGGAGCTAATCCTCTGCCTGTGGATGACATCCAGTGCGTTTGCGTTTGTCCCTGCCTTCTAATTTGTTGACTCTATTATACCAATTAAGTACTGACAGAGTATGCAGACAGTTAGCTGCATATGTACCTTAAAAAAGAAGCAGCTAATAATGCCCACTCACAACACAAAGAGCTCATAACGCACCTACTCTCAGCAGCCAGAAGCATCATAGCCAGACACTGGAGAGACCTGTCAGGAGCAAGCATAGACCAATGGTGTCAAATAGTATGGGAAACAGCCTTATTAGAAAAACTAACCAACAAACTGAAACTGACGTGGGGACAAATAGAAGAAGACGCCTTCACCCCGGTATAAAGGTAAAGGTACCCCTGCCCATACGGGCCAGTCTTGACAGACTCTAGGGTTGTGCGCCCATCTCACTTAAGAGGCCGGGGGCCAGCGCTGTCCGGAGACACTTTTCGGGTCACGTGGCCAGCGTGACAAAGCTGCATCTGGCGAGCCAGCGCAGCACACGGAAACACCGTTTACCTTCCCGCCAGTAAGCGGTCCCTATTTATCTACTTGCACCCGGGGGTGCTTTCGAACTGCTAGGTTGGCAGGCGCTGGGACCGAGCAACGGGAGCGCACCCCGCCGCGGGGATTCGAACCGCCGACCTTTCGATCGGCAAGCCCTAGGCGCTGAGGCTTTTACCCACAACGCCACCCGCGTCCCTCACCCCGGTATGGTTACCCTTTATCACATACACAGCCCAACAAGAACCCGCCAACAGCATTCAAATCAATCTGGCTAACCTGATCCAAAAACACCCACCCAGCCCACTCACACATGAAAACAATTTTCACTACAGCCAAAGACAACCAGCCACACCCTAGCCTAGGCCACCCCCAACCTCTCTCATCACCAAAGAAATACATGCAATTATTAAAGAGAACCCACATACCGTAAGTGCCACACACACACCAAACAGGAATACAGTAGAAGCATTGCCACCCAACCCACACACACCCTTTACCATCCCCCCCTCCACCTGTTTCCCCCTTTTCTTCCTAATGTAATACCAATGTCTCAACAAATGAAACTGATCTGTAGAAAATGTAACTTGAAAAAGAGGCATTGCACATGCTTTTGTAAACCAGAAAATTTCAATAAAAATATATTTTAAAAGATAAAGAATAAAAAGAAGAAGCTGCCCAATAAGTGTGCAAAAGCACACAAGCAGATTCTCCGTGCACAATTTTTAGAGTTGTTTGCTTGTGCAGTTTTCTGGTTTTGTGCTGCCATTCACTGTGGGGGGGGGGGGACAGAGTGTAACAGTATTTATAAACCTGCCACCACTTAAAAATCCATTTTGGAAGAACCAGAGCAGTTCCTTTTTTAGTGGGCCAAAATTGTTTTAACCATGCTCAGCCTTTTAAATATGAAGCTTTGGAGTGCTGTGAGGAAAAAAGGAAGATTTGGATCAGACCCTATCCTACAGCATCTCTGACATCAGACATGGACATGGGCATAGCCAGGATTTTTAGTGGGAAGCAGGCTTTTTATTAGGGCCTGCCCCCCACTAATGTATTTTTATTGACTGGGGGGGGCAGCAGCCTCTCCCTGCCCCCCCCCCCCGCTATGCCCATGCTCATGGACCTGAAGGTGTATGACTTCAGCTGTTCCAAATGAGGGGCTTTTGGGTGGGGAGAGTAGAGGTGTGCAAACGTATTATGTCTCCTTTATTATTTCTTGTGCTGAATAAGGAACTGTGTGTGAGAGAAATAACATTCCAAATCAGCCCACACAAAAGGCACACGAATAGGGAATGGGTCAAATCAAAGACAGGCCACAACAGATAAAATAGCATTGAAAACAGGGGTGGCTTCCACTGCTGCTGGATATCTTGGAAGCTGCTGGAGTACAACTCTCATCATGCCTGAACACTGGACAGGCTCTTGTGGGAATCTCTCAACACTTGCCAATAATAACTGATAGCCATCTATGTTGGTTAATACCGTATATTGCTATGGTAAAGACCTTGGGTTGTTTTGCAGTCAGTTCCCTTACTTTAGGGATCATGCTGCACAACGGAAGACCCTCAAGGCCAAACCTTTTCTGCAGAGTTGTCCCTCCTTCCCATCTGCTGCTCACAACCCAGAGGCAAGAGAAAGGTGTGGAAAAGCTGCTGGCTGTGAAAAGAGATATTTCTCATAGTCCATGCGGTTGGATGTGGAAGGGGGCTTAGCCCACCACCCTCCAGCCCCTCCTCAAGGCAGCCATCCCATATGACCATGTGCTGATGGTGAGAGCACATATATGCAAGCAGCTGCAGTCGTATTCCTTAGCTCTTCACTCACTTCTTCCAGTTTGCAGGGGCCGATTTTGGTCATATGGCATTCTGAGCATGGACCAAATTTTCAGTGGCGTAGCGTGGGGGGTGCAGGGGGGGCCGGCCGCACCGGGCGCAACATGGGGGGGGGCGCGCTCGCCACCTCC